ATATACAAAATTATAGACAGTTAGAAAAAATAATTAAAAAAAAAAAAAAAAAATACTAGCAGAACACTGGCAAATGTAAATTAGAGAAGATGAATTAGCTATTAAAATAAATAGATGCAAAAGTTGTATAAGAGTAGAAAAACTAATAAAAAATAGTTGCCAATAATAAATTAGAGTAAATAGCAAAATAATATAGTTTTTGATATATTAATAAATAAAGATAGTAACAAAATTAATATAGTAATAGATCAAATAACAAAAATAATAAAGATAAATGACCAAAAGTTGAAGAGCAAAAACTTGAAAAGATTAGAATAATAGAAGAGTTAGAAGTAAAAATTATTAGATAACAAAAGCTAAATAAGAACATTAACTAAAAAATAATAAAAATCTTAAGAAAAATCATAACAAAAAACAAGAATAAGTATATATTATATACAGATAGTATAGTAAGCATGGAGGTTAAAGAAAATATAGTAACCAAAAATAAGATAGACATAGAATAAGTTCAAAGAAACAAAATACAAGAATGACCAAAAGAGGAAGTAGTGCTAGGTCTAAAAGGATAACAAGCATTAATAGTAGTTGAGCTAGTAGCAATATAGGCAGCAATCTTAACAATATCAAAGAAAAAGTACCAGAAGAAGTATATTTATAAAATGTATAATAAATAAACTTCTGACTTTGAAAAACTTAACAAAAAAAGACCAGATATGCATACAACAACAGAATGCCAAGTATGTCAAAATAAAGTCAAAGAAATACAGTTATATTTGGTAGTATATAAAAAATAAAATAACTTATAAAAAAGAATCTAGAAAGTGATTATTGTAACAGTCTAGAAGAAACTAAAAAAAGAAGAAAAAGTTTGAATTCCTTTATATATGTTGTATATAGTGCTTTTTAAAAAAACAGAAGCAGAAAAAATTAAAATAAGAAAGATACTAATTAAAGCCCTAATTTCAAAAAAAATACAAAACTGATTATAGCAATGAACAAATATAAAAAATCCAATATAAGAAAATTAGTAAATAAAAGAAAAAAATAAAAATAACAGGTAGGTTAAAAAAAGGAAAAGAAAAAAAAAACTAGAACCAATTAAGAAAAAAAAGCAAATCAGTAAAAGATAAAAAAAAAGAAAGAAAAAGCAAGAAAAAAAAAAAAACAAATTAGAATAAAAACACAGAAGCAATTTTGAGACTTGTTATAAAAGAAGACTTTTTTATTATAGACTTTAAGTAGTTAGACAAGCAACTTATTTCTATTTAAAGTAATGCAGCAAGTTGCATTTAGATATTATTAAGATAACTAGGTGATACTAGACTTAGTTGTTAAGAACATTTATGTAATTACAAATGTAATTTTAATATCTTAATAAAGTACTAGTATGACTGCTTAAGAAAAAAAAACAAAAAAAAAACTTGCTATCAAAATTTAATAATATATAATTTAAAACTTTTAATTATTTTAATAAAATTTTATAATTTATTTTATTTAAAAAAATTACTTTATATTTTTTTTTTTTTTTTAAAAAAAGTGACCTTTTTGGTCTTTTGACTTTTATTAATTATTTATTGGTATTGTAGTTCAATGAACTACTACAAAAGAGCATACAATTGGCTATACATGTAACTTTTCTATATTATTTATTTAAAAGGTTGGCTAAAGTAAAGTTAATTTAATATATAATTTACATATTGTATAAATTACATTTTTGATATTTTATATAACCTACTAACACTAGTTGTATTAAAAAGGAACTTCAAATCTTACTTTACTTTAATGTTCCCCTATTTAAGAAGTTTGTTTGAAGGTTTTCTACCAATTACTGTATCTAACACCTCTGCTTAGATGTTCTATTTTAAACTTTCTAAACCTGTAATCTGTATTAACTTACTAGGTTATACTTAAATGTTCAGATCATTGTCTCAACCTTAGAACTAATTTATTCTCAAGATAAACCTTCTAGAGCCTTCTGTACTTATTTTTATAATTGATCTAGATATCACTATGGCAGAACCAATACTTGTGATCAGAGCTTAATCATTAAACTACTATGCTCTTGTAAAGTTCACTTAAACCCTAGTATTTATTTTATAGCATAATCTTGGTACTTTAGTATACTCCTTTTTTTTATCTGTTTTTTTACCAAACTCCTAATCCAGATAGCCTGTATAGAACTATGATCAGTCTATCAGTATATTGGATCAGCCTAATATTTTTTTCTTTTGATTTGTTCTGACAGCCTAGTTGGTGATACCTCTGAGACTCTTAACTTAGAGATTCTTGCCTGTCTGGCTACTATAACTGAATACTAAATCTTGATATCCATTTTACTGAGCTAGCCTTTACAGTAAGGTCATCAAAAATCCAACTATCTCTCTATTCGAATCTTTCCAAATAGATTTCTTGTTACTTAATTTTAACTGATTTACATAATCACAAGGACTTATTTAATGTTTGTATTGCCCAATTTGTTGGTTTGTATTTTTTTATATAACTTTAATATTGTACAGATGCCTCATAACCTGCTAGTCATGTTGATGCAACTGTCATTACAGGTATCTTAACCTAATCGTTAGTAACAGTTGCTATAATATGAAAATTACATAGGTAATTATCTAAATTTTTACTGTTAATAAGATTTGAACACCTAACCTACCACTTAGGAGGTTAACAAACTGACCACTTTACTAGGTTATCATACCTTCAAAAATTACTTTATATATTACTAAGTTTTTTTAAATTAGCTTATAAGTTTTCTAGATTATATAAGATTTATATAGAAAATTTGTATAACATAAACAAAATTTTATATATAAATTATATGATATCATATAATTTGCTATATAATTACTATTAAAAATAATTTATACCACCTTTATCTTTAATTTTAAGAACTTAGAATATTGGTGAATTTTTTTTTTTTTGTTTTTGCTAAGGCTGTTAGTTATTAGCAACTACTGCTTTATTGTGATTTAATTATAATTATATAACTTGTATAAGATGACTTTTATACTATACCTAACAGATAGCATACAAGTTCTCATACACTAAAGTGCTGTTTAAGCTTATTATTAATATTAAAAAAATTTATATTTTTATATAATTATATATAAAAAATATTAAAAATAAAATACATTAAAACAGATAACAATCAAATAAATAAAGACCTGCAAATTATCTATTTTTGTGGCCTGGCCTGACCCATACTTAGTTTTAAAATTTTTTTATTAGTCTGGTCCAACCTGCACTTAACTTTAAAATTTTTTTGCTAACTTGACTCAGCCCACATATATATAATTTTTTTTTAAACTGGCCTAACCCAGCTCAGCATACAATTTATAATTAAATTTTGAAAATTTTTAGACCCACTCAGGCTTCACAGTTGTAAAATTTTGGCATACCTCTACAAATTGGGTTAAATTTATATATCAAAATTTTTAAGAATTTTTTAACCAATTAAATTTTAAGAAAATTGGCCTATTAAAATTAAGTAATTTAAAAACATCAAAAATTAACGTTATAAAATAAATTAAAGTCTTAAATGTTTAATTTTAAAAATAGGACAAATGTAGTCTTTAAGTGTTGCGCACTGTACTAATATAAAAATTAAACCTAATTTGGAATATTTTTAGGTCAAAAATTTCTATAACAAAACTTTAAAAACTTAGAAATTTAAAAAACATAATAAAAACATATAATAGGTGCAAAACACCATAGGTGCGCTTTATAAAAATTGTTTTCTTTATACTTAAGTAAAGCTTCAAGTCTATTTAACCTAATATTGTTATGGATCATTAGCCTTTTCTCAAACCAATTGGCTTCATAAGTTAATTATTACGCATTACTTTTTTCTATCTTAAAATATACTTAGGTAGAGTGAATCCCAGAGATACAAAGCTTCGTTTGTGAAAGTCTTCCATAGTATTATAAACGGTGTTTACATTGTTAAAAATAAAAAATTTACATGTTAGGAGGTGAAAGTACTCTAAATTGTATAAATTCAACTATATAAAATTGATCAGTCACGTAAAACTAGCCCTATATCTCGATATCTCGTAACCCTAGTCATTATGATTCCAATCCAGGACAAAGCTTTCTTTTACAATGCGGATTTGGCAATGTAACGATGTAATGCGCAACCAAAATTCAGCGGACCGACCAAAATTTAGACCGGTGCTAGACCGGCATTAAGCAACGATATCAGTCAACTTCATAGACAGAAGTTCGTCTGATTGGCTAATAAATTCAATTTAATTTTATATTATTTATACAGTTTAGAGTACTTTTTTTTAAAAAAAAACGAAAACTAACCATAATAAAGTAAAAAAAAAAACATATAGAAGGTTCCATTAGAGCTAGATCTAATTCTCGTCTGTTTAAAAAAATTAACATAGTAATAAGTTGATTTTATCGGGTTTTGAGAAGTTATTACTATACTAACTTTTTTAAACAGATGAGAATTAGATCTTATTTTTGGCTATGAAGTCCTACAGCTATAATGAAACCTTCTATATGGTTTTTTTTCACTTTATTATGGTTGGTTTTCGTTTTTTTTAAAAAGTACTCTAAACTGTATAAATTATATAAAATTCAATTGAATTTTATTAGCCAATCAGACAAACTTCTGCCTATGACAGTCAACTATATTGTAACAAAATAGCATCAGGGAAATTTTATTTAATACGTAGGCTAGTAAAATTTGGGTGATTATATCGATTCCAGCTCTGAATTTTTGGTTGATCTGCTGAGCTTTGGTTCTATTCACAGTAATGCAACAATGTACCAAATACGGCAGACCACAACCGCATTAATCCGTAAATCAATTAACGTAAAGGTTATACGTATAACGATAACATTGAAAACTTGAATAATTCTCCCACCACTACTGTTATTGACAATCGTTTTTGGATCAAATGTAATACAATATTGTACGTAATACATAAAAATGCTTATTTATGGGCACAATAACACTTTAGAATTTCTTCATTAAAGATATGAAAAAAGACGATGCTATAGAATATTTAAATCGTTGGTATAGTAGGCTTCGAAGTCGATATGTTGATTTGATTGGTGATTTTGGTGGTAAATATCAATTAGGATAACCAACTTTTAAAGAATATTAAGATTTTAAATGAAGTTTAGGTTATGTTGCATTTAAGTTTTCTTTTGGAATAGAAAATTAAAATTTTGTGATTTATCATTTAAAATCTTTACATCACTATATACATAACTAACAATCTTTATGAACCGATTTTATTAATTTAAGGTAGTGAATTATTCGTTGTGGAAGGTGATAGCTTGCTTTACGAATTCTTTTGCGACTCAAAAAAACATTTTCTTGATTTTAATCAACCATATGGAGGTGGTCAATTTTTGTCCCTCACTTATCTTGTAGAAACATTTCTTAACAAACTCAAACAACGTGGATGTGTCTTCCATCTAGTATTTTTTCATAAGCATAAAGTGATCTGGAATTCTAATCCAAAATTTCGAATTGCCAGAGAAATCATAATTAACCATTTAAAATCGTGTCAAAATGAAAGTAAAGTTCCAATTTATGAATTTCCGGCTTGGTGGGATTCACAATTTGATCAATACATCGATGACAGACAACCATTGTTTATATTATCTGGTGACGGGACCAATGGTGATAAAGAAAAATCAACGAAAATATCGATCCTTTCTAAGGGACTATTTTATTACTCACTCCATAAAGATCTGTCTATGGCACTTATACCAGGAATGGAGTTTAGAGATTCCAGGGCCCAAGCTTTTGTATTTGATCGTGGTGGTAATGTGGAACCATCAACTATTGAAAATCTTCCAGGCATTGTTGAACTATGTTCAATTGAGTCACAAGAATCATATAAGAAAAGTTCATGGACTAATCCAAAGGAACAAAACTTTGAAACAAATTCTTTGATTTCGGAAATACTTAATGAACAAGAAAACCAAAAAATATTTGAAAATGGCGGGAAAAGACTTTTTTTTGTTATCATATCGTTGATTGATCTTTTAAAGCAAAATTCGAAGCAAAAAATATATCGTTTGCTTTCCAAACTATTTTTACTTCATATTTACCTTTTGGATTATACTACTTTGCAATCGAGAACTCTGCCACCAATACAGAAAATAAATGCTGAAGTCGTTAATAAGTTTTTAAATAGTTTTTACAATTGTTGTTGCAACATATTAATTAATGATTCGCTTAAAATAGCCAATGTAAAAAATAATTTTGCAGATTTCGTGGATATCCGTCTTTTTATTTCTTTAATTGAATTACAACAAAATGGAAATATTGACTTTAATAACCTTCCAAAAGAAATAAAGCAAGATTTTGATATAGCATGGAAAATTTTAGCACGTTATGATAACAAAGTCATGATTTTAGACGGTTTGCTAAATAATATTCAAATTGAAAAAACTGCCATTCCAATTTATGCAAATAGAGAATTATCACTTCTTCCATTTGATTATCAATTTTTTGTTGAAATTCTTGGTGATATGCAATTGAAGCTTAATGAAAATGATACAGGTATTATTGACACTGGTTCTTACGGAATTACTGGAAATTTGCCATATCATGAAATTACCCATTGGCATTCAACAAAATTACTTAAAGATCCAACATATAATTCAAAATTCAAGAACAAAAATAAAATTGAAAGAAAACAGCAAGATTATCAAAAATACGTTAGATTTTTAGATAGATATGCAAGATCATTAAATGGAACACAAGGATTTTATAAGTTAAATATTATTATTGATAAAAAGGCAGACAAAAAATCACAAAATAAATTATCAAATAAGGCAATAAAAATTATCGAACAAGCCAATCAAGATAAATTAGAAAAATCATTTAAAGATGCCGAAGCTTCTTTTGCCCGTACAATCGAAGAATTGCCTATAGATTTAAATATTGAATCTAAGTTGTCGTATTTGAATGATCGATTCAATAACAAGGATAAATTTAAACATCCTAAAATCATGCTGAAAATACAAATTTATAAATTACAGCTTTTATTTGACCAATGGAATAAAGACTGTATAATTACTGATTCCAAAAAAAAAGGACAGCAATTATTATGCAATTCCTGTTGAAATCTACCGTCAAATCTTTTTTATAGCACAGAATTTTGGATCAACAATTGAAGATCAAAAAAATTATTTATCCGAAATTCTTGAAAAGTTAGGTTTAAATGATTCAAAAAATCGACTCCTTACAATGTTTGATACAAATGAATTAAAAGAAAGCAATAAAAAAGAAAGCGATAAAAAAGAAAGCGGTAAAAAAAAAAGCAACAAAAAAGAAGGCAATAAAAAAGAAAACAACAAAAAAGAAAACAAAAAAGAACAGAAATCTGAGGAACCAGGACCTTCCGCCGACTTATCGTTAGGTATATCTGATGCAAGGTTTCAAATGCTGGTATATATATAGCATACATATATATGTATTTTTTATTTTATTTTTTTATCGCAGTTACCAATAAATATTTAATTACATACTGTGAATACTTAATTATTTAAATCATCTAAGTATTTAAAAAAGGCATTCATAATATTTAATCAAGTATTCACAGTATTTTCTTACTTTCGATTATTTTGAAAACTGATAAATATACATATATATTTTTGATTTCTTAATTTGAATCAGTATACAGGACATTTAATGGATCGAAACACAAATTCCGTTGAAGATAAACGTGTTCAACATTTTAAACCAGGTTAAATTTAGTTTCTAGTGTTATTAGTGTTATTTGTAATTTCTGGGAACAATATGAGATCGATCCAATGTGAGATCAATTATATATATATATATATAATTAACATTTACATCTTTATGTGTGCCGACCTCATATTTTCCTAAAAACAATTTTCAGAGAATAACTATGAATTACATATAATTAGACAAATGGCAATGTGATGTTTTAGATGTAATTGACAAAAACCAGTCAGCATTGGTTTGTTGTCCAACATCATCCGGAAAAACGTTTATTTCTTTTTATGCTATGGAAAAAGTTTTGCGTGAGGATGATGATGGTAATATTGGTTTTATATTATAATTATCTTAACAATTATAACTCAGTGATATTATAATTACTATTAATAATAAAAAACATTTTTATAATAGGAATCTTAGTATATGTTTCTCCTACCAAAGCTCTTGTAAACCAGGTTACGGCAGAAGTATATGGCCGATTCGAAAAAACTTATACGCAGGGTGGAAAAACTGTTTGGGGGATACGAACAAGGTACTTATTATAAGAGAGTTATCATTTATCGCTACCATGATTAGATTAACCAATCAGGATGCAGGATCAGGCATAATATGAAAATCGAAGTGATTACTTCTAACTCGGAATTTTGCTTATGAAATATACGTATACGTATAATTTTTTTCTATAACTGACAATAGGGAGTATAATCAAAATCATGACAAGTGCCAAATCTTAGTTACAGTTCCGGAAATGTTGGAAATTTTATTATTATCACCATCCAATGTTAAATGGGTTACAAGAATTCGCCGGATTATACTTGATGAAGTTCATTGTATAGGTGAAATGGATGGTGGTAGTACTTGGGAATCTTTATTACTTCTTGCACAATGTCCGATCTTAGCACTTTCAGCCACAATTGGAAACCCTGAACCATTTAGTAAATGGATTGAAAAAATTCAAACTACTCGTGGACATAAAACTAAATTAATTAAAACCACAAAAAGATTTTCTGATCTTCAACAATACGTTTTTATTCCAAAATTTCCTTTACTTCCTTTAGTTGAAACTACTGTTAAACCAAAAGAAGAATTACGTCAAGATTGTTTAATATCAATTCACCCATTTTCAGCAATGTCATCAGTGGTTATTGCTGAAAGTGGAATTCCTGCTGATTTAAAGTTATTACCATCTCACTGTATTGAACTTTGGGACGCAATGAATCATGTCCATAAAGATGACCCTGATCTTTTAAAAATTAATCCAGATAAATATTTCAAAGATATTGGATATATTGTAAAAGATAATGCGGACAATTTTGAAACAGATATCAAAAAATTATTTATATCATGGACTAGAAATAAACCAAAAATGGCTAAAGCAGTAATCAAGAATCTTGGTGATGATATTAAAAAAAGATTTGATGAATTAGAATCTACCGCTAAAATAAATAATGAAAAATTGGATATTTATGATGAAAGTTTTTTTAAAATAGCAATTATTCCTTTGTTATGTGAACTTTCTGCTCAAGACAAGTTACCAGCTATATTATTTAGCTTTGATCGTAATAATTGCAATCATTTGGCAATTAATATATTAAAGGAATTGGAGTCGGCTGAGGAGCAAAAAAGAAGAAATGATCCCATATTTGAGGTACCATGATATGTATAAATTGGCTTCTTTTTTTTTATACACTTAAGTTAATTTCTTTAAATTAAATTAAACAGGCAAAGAAAAAAGATGCTATTGCACAAAAACAAAAAAATGAAAAAGAACGTAAACAAAAGAGAGATGCTAAGAAAAGAAAAGATGATAAAGATGAAGATAAAAATAAACTAGAACCTCCCATGCAGATTATTTTTGATTATGAAGCACATGATCCAAATTTCACCTTTGTGAACCCCAAATATCGAATGCCTTCTGATGAATTTCAAGCGTTAATTAGAACATTCGAACATAAGATGACTGGAAAATTATCTAAACTTCTTGACGCATTAAAAAGAGGTATTAAATAATATTTTTATTAAAAATGTTAAAATTATACAATACATAACTTGTCTAAAAAAAAAAAAAAAACATTATTATATATGTAATCGAAATGTATTAGGAATCGGTGTCCATCATGCAGGTCTTCCAAAGAAGTATCTTGGTGCTGTTGAAATCTTGTTTCGAAGACGACATCTAAGTATCGTAATTGCAACTGGTACTTTGGCCTTAGGAATTAATATGGTATTGCTTGCTTTAAAATTTAAAATACAACATAAACTGTTTTACATTTTAAACTTATGTAAATATATTTTTATGATAGCCATGCCGCACTACAGTATTCGTTGGTGATTCTACATATTTGACACCCCTTCAATATCGTCAAATGTAAGGTTGATTTTAAGCTTATCTTACATGACAAGTATATGAATACTAATTGTATAAATATATAAAATCTATAAATATGTATGTAAATATGTTATGGATACATTTTTTTTATTATAGGTCAGGAAGAAGTGGACGCCGAGGTTATGATCCAATAGGACATGTAGTGTTCTTTGGAATAACTTTAACCAAAATTAAAAGGCTTCTAACATCTGAATTGCCAGCTATAAGTGGACATTTTCCACTAACAACCAGCCTTGTGTTGAGAATGTTTATATTACTTACTAACTCTGAAAACCCAAATTATTCTGAAAAAGCAGTTTCAGGATTATTCGGTGATTCATTCTTTTGTCTTGGGAAAGAACATTTGTCAGGACAAATCAAACATCATTTAAGATTTTCTATAGAATATCTAAGACGTGAAAATATATTAGATGAAAAAGGGAAACCAATAAATCTTTCTGGAATGATTTCACATCTTTATTACACAGAACCAAGTAACTTTGCAATGGCAGCTTTATTTAAACATGGTGTATTTCATAAGATTTGTTCAGAAATTAGAACCAATCCAACAAGAATGATGGAAAATTTAATGTTAATCTTATCACATCTTTTTAATAGAAAAAAATTACGAAAAGTTGACAAAAGATTTTATAGTGAAATATTAGAAAAATATCCATCAAAGATATTTTTACAAAAATTACCTAAAAACGTTCGTAAAATTTTGAAAGATCATAATAAACGTATATTAGAAATTCATACTGATTATGTTATAGCATTTACAAGACAAAATATGAAAAATTTGGGACCAGATAATCGGTTACCACTTTCAAAAGTTGAATTTCCTCCAAAACAACTTCAACAAAACAAATGGGATTTAATTAAAAAATTGAATTCTATGGCTATTCCTTTCAGTGCTCGAACACCTTTTATTGCAATGTGTGGATCTATTGGAGATAATTTTCTTAATATTGAAGATTTATGTGAACATATACATCACAAAATATATTTGGATTTGTATAGTATCCCTTATATAAAAGTCAATGAAAATCTTAATGCTTATTTAATGGATTTCTTTAGTCATGGACAAGAAAAAACTCTCAATTTAGCAAATGGCATACGACCTGGTGAAGTTTGGCAATGTAATGTGATATTTTTTATTTAATTTGTATTAAAGATATTATACATTATTGAAATTTTAACCTCTATGATACTACACTTATAGGTTTAAAAGATTTTGACTTTGTACTTCAAACAATTGTTACATCATTGGAAGTTCGAAAGGTTGAGAGTGAGGCAAATGTTTTAGATGGTTTTAAGATGGTTAGTGAATCTTTTAGAGAAAAATTTGTTACTATGTGGGCTTGAATTTATATTTGAAGTTTATATATTATACAATAGTTGCTTTTGATTTTAGTATTCTCGATACATATTTTATTTTAATAAAGATTATACTGTATATTTTAGTAATTATAACAGAAAACTTTTATATTCATGAATCATTGTATAAACTCAAATGCGTGACAAAGACGAAAAAATGCGTCGTTGAGAGATGTTCACTGATACGATGTTTTTCATATGACGGCAGGACGAGAACTCACGCTACTAACATTGTAACTCAAGTCATTTTTTCGAAAAAGCCTAATCCTAATAAAGTTATCTGGCGCTGGTTATAATGCTAGCTAATTTAGCCGGGATCAAGTCTTTTAGGGAAAATTGGCTTTCACAAAATCATACAGAAACGTTATTAATTACTTTTATCAAATTCCATGGTTCTCGTTTAAATTCATTTACATTTCTGGAAAATAACAAATAAATTCTCGGGAAATTAAATTCTGATAAAAATTATCATCAATAACACGTAAATTCCCGTTCATGAGACGATGACTAACTGACAAAATTTAGTATTGATTTAAAAATTGCACTCTCGACCGTTATTATAAGATTCCAGTTTCGGTTTTTTTTTCGTTCATGGCGATTTACGATTTGATTGGCTAATTCTATAAATAATTAAAAGCGGGTTAACAAAAGTTACATTTTTGATGTGCTTAGGCTTAGGGCTTAGGGTTACCTTTTTGATACGTACAATTATATTTAAAGCACTGTATTAGAATATACGTAATTTATGCAGTATACCATTTTAATGAAGAAAGTCAGTAATATTTGGCGGAATTGTGATATTTTTCATGTGGCCCATACTTTGGGCCAGTGTTGTACAATGTGTATCCAAAGTTTGTTCCCGTTCCAGAACGTCTCATTTTATCCCATCAAATATCTCAATTTTTAATTTATTAAAAAAATAATACAAAAAATAATACAAATATATACGAAATTTTGATTTAAAAGCTGAAAATGTTATTTTTTTAACATTAATTTTGCCCAAGTACGTACCGGTTAATATAACATGAATGTTTTTTAAAAAAAACCAACGTTATTACAAACATTATCATTAATAAAAAATAACCAATTAAAAATCATAAACTTCCTCCGATACTTTTTACAAACATATTTTCACTCGGTTTTTTTTCAAAAATTGAACTGCTTCAACTTAAACGCAAACAATGCACAACGCGTGAATAATGCCTAAATGTAAAAGAATATATATCTAAGTTAAAATTCACATATTCATTCTATATAGTTGAACGAGTAAAAATAATATGTATACCTGGAATTATACCAAGTAACGTAAGCAAAATATTAATTAAAAGATCTGTGCCACAACCACGTTTAAGAAAAACTGCGACCGGTGGAAGGAAAAAAGCGATGATAATTTCGCAAATATCAGCGCAGCAAGTGCACATATCACAGCACATACCCATGATGATTAATTCTGAATTCAAAAGAATTGAATGCGTAAATTTTGGGGGAACAACCCGTTTTTATAACAAAAATTCACGTACTATTCACAAAACATGGTAAATGAAAAAAAATAAAAAAAGTTGTCGAGGCGGATGTCTTCGTGTGACGAATCAAGTATGGAAATGACGTACGTGTGCACATGATGAATCTATGATGAACTTAACCTAATACAGTAATTAATTAAAATTTTTTCACAAATTACTAGTGCTACATACGTAAAAATGATGTAACAAAAATCGTGATAGTAAATGAATAAATGCGTATATAAAATCATATTAGCTTATCTAACAATAAATTTAAATTAGAGCCCATGAACTTTTTAGAGGTACCTTTACAAAATTACGCCGGTAAATTTGTAAAACTTGTAAAAAAAATAAAGTTACCAATGAAATTTTGAAAATCTTGCCTATACTTTAAAACGATTGTTGGACCAAGGTTTTCGGTGCCATAATTTAAAAAAATATTCGAATGTTATTGTTATTGTTTACAAACAAGATAAATAACAGTTTTATTTTTAAGTTTAGTAGCATGTACTGTCGATGAGTGCGACTTTTTTAAAAAAAATATTACTATAAACTATCATATATGGGTCAATTTCTACCATTATGAGTATTCGGGGAAAATTTCTTAAATTCGAATATCGATGTTCAATCAATTTTACTCTCTAAAATAAAAATAGAATTGTGCATATCCAGGGGTAGAGTTTACAATTTGCTATTCGATCAACCAACCAGAACTTGTTATACTTCCAGCCAATTTATTTAGAAGTGCATTCGAGTCGAAAAAAAAACTTATTCAAAGTTACATTAGAATCTCATTAAAGCAAGTCTGTTTAGAATTATTATTAAATTAGAACATAGATTATATTATTAGCATTAAATGTAAATGAATATGTAATTATTTGTACATTCATCAATACTAATAAAATTATGTATATTTAAATTCATTCTTTTTTTTTCTTGTAATTTTAAGTGTTTACAATGGAAACTACTGATATTTTTGATATAGAACAAAATGATTTATATGACATTATGCCATCATTCACTGAATTAGAGATGGAAGAATATGATGAAGCAGATGATATGATCTGTCAGCATGTTCAAGAATTGTGAGAATTTTGGTAAAAAAAAGAATGTATCTGTAGAAAAACAAAAAAAAAAAATTGAAATTTGCTTTGAAAAAATAGGATTTCATTGATTTTTTAGAAGACAAGAAGAATGCAATAAAATGTTATATAACAGCTTAAATAGCTGAATTAAAGAGCAATTTGCAGCATTTGCATTTAGTGAATCTCCAAAAAATAAAAAAACTAGTCAAGAATCATATAGTCATAGTATCATTATGATGCTCAACATACTGTGTATATATCTACATATGCAACCTTAACAGAAATTTCTTTGGCTCAACTTCACTGAATTAAATCATCTATTAAAAATAAAGGAATTGTTAAAAATATTTATGGAAATATAGAATGTATCTTTATTCGATTTGATCATACAATTGTAGATGAAGAAATTAAACAAGAAATTAATAATTTTATTTATAATTATATCAATATTCATGGATTTCCTTCATCAGGCCAACATATGTGACAAAATGCTATACCAATTATTTCACTTCCTGTAGGTACAACATATATTAATGTCTATAAAGAATATATAAAATTTATTGAATTAACAAAAAGCAAAAACTATAAAATTATGGCATATGTTATATTTTTTAAAATCTGAAAAGAAGTTGTATATGATGTTTGATTAATGACTAAAGCTTCTGATTTATATGATAAATGTAAGCAACTTCATGTTAAAATTTGAGTTACTAATGATCTAGAAAATAAACAAAAACTTCAAAATGAATACAACCTTCATCATACAAATGCAACAATTGAATGTTAATATTATAATAACAATATTAGTATGAGTAAGTAGTTAGAATTTAATATTATACATATTTGTTATAACTGGGCACAAAATGTACAAATTCTGTATTTACTATAGTAACCTGAAGGTTTGTTTTTTAAATCACCCTTTAATGTTCATATATTCAGAATTGCTAATACTAGTCTAGAAACATAAGAAAATTATCTTATTGGTAAGCATCAGTTTCTAAAAAAAAAACACCTAAAAATGCTAATACAACTCTTAATTTTATGTATGATAGTTTATTTTATTAGAATCTATTACAAAAAAATTTAAAAATTATATGCGATAATTGTGAAGATCAAAACAAAATTAACCTTACTCTTTGGTTTTACTTTTGGCTTACTATAATTAGATGATTTGATACTATTAAATTAAATTTTATAATTTCTGATCATATAAAATTTATTTGTAACTCATATTTTGAAATAATTAAATCATATTATCATAAATCTAATGTTATTATATTGAAACTATTATTAATCAATTGAAAAAAAATAGAAGTAATATAGCAGTTAGATATGATAGTAAAAATTAATTAGGATGGAATTATTATGATTTTGAAATTTTTTTAGAATCATATTTTGTAAAAATTAATGGTATATGTGCATACCATTACTTTTATTTCTATTATGATCAGTCTAAAAAAGTATTTATGATTTTAGAATTTAATAATATAAAAAAAAAAGCCATAATTTATAATAATATTCAGTTTAATCTATATAAACCTTTAACTATAATTTCCTTAAAACCTTTAACTTTAAAACATCAAACACAATTGTTCAAAGATATTCATTCATATATTCACAACTCTCACAAAGATGAATTATGTTTTGCTTTACGTGAACAAAATTATATTGATATAGAATAATTTTTAGATTATCAACATGCATATATATGCAAAATTTTATTTTTAGAATCAAAAAATTAATATAATAAAAAACTTTGAATAAAAATTGTATAGTAAATTATTATAATATTATGCAATGAAACTTGTGCCAAGTGTAAAGTATAAACTAAAGAATATGATCCAATAAATTATCAAACTTTGATCAAAAATTCCCAATTACTTATGACGATAGAAATTGACCTATATAAGACTCGGGTCTCTTACATAAAACTTATAATAAATCCTGGATATAAAATGGCATTCAATTATTATAGATTTCATGATCTATACCTAAATATAATACATAATGGGTCTATTTAGTCTTATGACAAAATTAATTATTTTAAGTTTTATCAAATCTTTAGCAAAAAAATATATACATTTTTTTAAAAAAAAACTTTGATCTAATTAAATAATTAAAAAAAATGATAGAAGATGTAAAGGTTTAAAATGCAAAAGTCAAAAAAAGCATAGCATAAATAACCATAATTCAAATATTTTAAGAGCTTTCATTGAATAAATTTCATAAAAAGCTATACATTTTTTTTTTATATAAAAAAGATTTTGTAATATATTACAAATTATAGTCATGATTATGCCAAAATAATCTCTAGCATTTATATATTATTATTATTACCTTTCTGTATATAGCAATTAGATACATATTTGTATCCTTATATTATATTTAAACTATAAGGTAGTAAACAACTTTACTTGACATCTCTAGGTAATTAATACCTCAGATTAATAAAAAAAAAACTATAAGGTGGTTATAAAGTTTAATTATTGAAGCTAAAAAACCAGCTGACTTTATAATAAAATACAAAATATTAATTAGAGTAGCTTTGCAACATAATCATGCTTAAACTAGGAGCATAATATAATTGCTAAATTTATATTAAGGATCCGAGTGTAGTAATAAACACCAATTGTCCTGTTTAATCTATTTCAAAGTATTGTTCATCTTATAAATTAATCATAATTTTTGTATTTATTTTAAACTGTAAATAAACTTTAATTCATTAATATACAATATTTTAAGTTTATTATATATGAAATATGTATTAGTTATAAATAGTGATGGGAAACTTGGATAGAGGTAAACAATTTGAGTTTCTCATATAAAATACCAGATATATAATATTAAAACCTTTGCAGTGTGAATGACTCCTTTAATAAAATATTAGTTGATAGATCTTCTATACCTATAGTTGTTGGTAGAATTAATGAATTATGACACTATAGCATTTTATCACAGCACTGATTGGCCATAATACTGTACAGTACCATACTTTACCAAAAGACCTAGCTGCCTACACTAATTTTGTATAGTAGATTCTCATAATTTTTGGCCAGAATTAATTTTTTACCTTTTTTATTTCAAAACTTTTTAGAGAAATAGACTTGCATAATTGTAAAATTAGTCAGAAAATAGATTAGATAAATTATCTTATATAAAAATAACAGTTCGAACCTAATTGTTAGCTTGTCTTAGTTAAAATACAATATTCGAAAGTAGTATAAGTGTCTTGCTCTAATACTTCCCTCATCTAAATAAAGAATTAGAGTATATGCCAAAAGCAAGATGTCAATCATGTGATTTCTGATGCTCTGAATGATCACTTACCAATCAAGTTTTTTTAAATATTGCAAATATTTTAAAATTTTACTTATTAAATCACCTTCTGCACTCTAATTAAAAAATTTTCTTACAAAATTTATTATACAGTACAATTTCATAACCTAAAATATATGCATATTTCTTTTTATTTATATATTGTCTTTAATTGTTTTGATTTTTAGATATCAGATCTGATGTTAACTACCTCAAGATCACCAACAAAATTTCATAATCACATGAATAATCATCTAGTTAACTAATCAAGAAAGAGACTTGTTAATGCCATCTTCTATTTTGTTAATGCTATCTTTTACATAATCTAATCTTAATTAATAATTAGGATCTGAAAGGTTAAAGATTAAATATTTTATGTAAAAGGGTGGCATTAACAAATCTCTCAAAAAATGTCAATTATTTGTATATTTTAACATTGTGTATATCAAAATTTAAGTAAAGATATCTTGATAATCAACTAATGAAATACTATAATTTTTTTTATTATATTAATCTTATGAATTTTAGAATTAAAATAAAAAATTTTCATGATTTTAATCAGTTAGTTCTCAAAATATCTTTAATCAAAATTATATAAAGATTCTCAATATCTATCAAAATAAAAGTTGTATTAATTTTTTTAAAACTTTGATCAAAGATATCTCAAGAACTGTCTGATAAAAATTAATAAAATTTTTTTTATTTTAAGTATATAAATTCACAAAATTAAAGTAAACTAATTTTTATTGAATTTTACTAGGCAATTTTTAAAATATCTTTTAAATTTTTGATATATATTATATAAAAATATATGTATATCAAAAAAAAATTTTTTTTAACTATCTTTAATGTTTTTACAATTATCATAGGGCATATATGGCACTCTTTTTTATTAAGTACTACTTATAGCAAAATTAATTACATATTAAAATAATTTTAAACTAAATATTTATATATATATTTTATAAATAGACTTCATACAGCATTTGTCATAAATCAGCATAATCTCTTTAGAAATTCTATTTTTTGCAATTATAGAGAGTACTAAATCTGAGTATCATATGTTACCCTATTTGTAAATTGCATAACAGTACCAGATTTCATATATAGTGTGTGTGTAGCCATAGAATAGTTCTATATATTTTTGTTTTTTTATAATATTTTTTAAGAAAATTTTTCTATTGTGTCAGGTATAGGTTCTGTTTGATTTGTTTCTAAGAATTTGTATGCTTCTGTTTAAATCAGTTTGCAGATTCTGTATTTTGCAGCAAAGTGCTTGATTATTTGTATTTGTTTAGAACACTATAAGCATTTTTTTGAATCTGTTGATATAAAGTGTCAAAGCTTGTATCTTAATGATAGAGCTTTGTAAAATAAATTACCAAAATATGTATTTTTTTTGTTTAGTATTGTTTTCTAAAAAATCTAGTTCTGGTCTTGTAATGTGCTATAGGTTCTATTTGATTTACTGATTTAAAGTTAAGTTTTCTTAAAAGTTCTACTATAGATTTAACTGATGTTTTAGTAACTTTTTTTCTGTTTATTTCCAATTCTGTTAGGCTTTATGGCCAGTCAGATTCTGATAATATTTTTCTTTTTATTTTTTTCCAGACTAAAAGATAGAGTTTTCATTTTGTAGATCAGGCTTTTGATCTAATAGGCTATATAGAGAGCGCTTCTTGTACTAAGATATTTCTTTTTTGAATAAGCAAAAGAGAAATTCTATTTTTTTCTATTTTTGCCTATAAGAGATTATTTAAGATTAGTTTAGTCCAAACTAATAGTAGTCTAGCCTATAGTAAATTGCCAACTATTGAAGCTTGTAGACTACTTTGTTCATATAATTGTTAAAAAATAGAGTATCTTGATAGCATTTTGAAGTTACCTTTAACCCAGAATATAATAAGTTTGTTAATTTTTGCATCTTGTTTTCTATTTGGTAGTGTTAAATATGCAATATATTATATCTTTGATAAAAGTAAAGATTTTGCAAATATAATTCTTTCTTTAAGTAACAGGTTTCTATATGTGAGCCTTCTAAGCTTAGTTTATATTTGTTTATAGCTATTTGACACAGGCTTTTTTTTTAGTATACTATTGGCTGTAATGTTATAACTTAAAACTGTGATATTATCTTGTTTCTTAAGTTTTTTAAAGCAGATTTTTTCT